AGAGTGTTTTAAACTCAAAATATTCCAATTGTCAACATTAACCATGCAAAGTAGGATATTAGACCCAACAAGTTCGTTATGATCTCACTTTATTTCGCCAAATAAACATTCGAAAAATATTTCAATCACAATAGGCATGGTCTAATTCCAAAAATCATAATATTTAAATATAATCGTAAATATTTTTCCGAAAACCATAACTAGGTTAGGGCAAAACTAGGGTTTCAAACCCATCCCATAAATTCCACGATTTTCAATTTAGAATCCAATAATAATCTTCACATAAATATTATAATCAACTTTCTAGAAGAAATTGGCAAAACCTAACACTTTTAGGGCAAACCCATTTGACAAGAATATTGAAAAAGATGTCAATAGAAGGGTATAGGGATTAGAACATATCAATCTATCTAAGATTAATCCCACTTACCTCAAGAGAAGAGACCAAAATGAAGAATTTTGGAGAAGAAGAATCCCCAAGGAAGGAGGGCTGGTGGCGGCGGCGTGCGTGATGGTTGTTGCTGCTGTTCCTTTTTTTTTTTTTTTATTCTTTTATTTAACATAAAATACTTAGCCCTTTATTAATTATTTTATTCTACTTTTGCCCAAACTCAATTTTTACTTCTAATTTAAACCCAAATCTTTAATTTATTACACTAAAAGACCAAAATAAATTATGCCCAAAATGAAATTTGTCCGACTCCGGTAAACTTTCAGCAATTATTTTACGGGGTATTACACACTCGTTCATTTAAACCAAATTATTGATTCGCCGGTACTTGACCTTAAGGGATTTACAACAAGACTTCAATGACACCCAAATTCAGAACAATATAAGCAAGAAAAGCTATTGTCACTAAACATTTCTGAGACCTAATAGACAAGCTCTTATGCCTAATTAATTATTCTGAAAATCTGTTTTATTACTAGATTTACCCTTATGATAAATTTCTTTAATCAAAATGGAATTTAGAACAACAATTAAGCAGGTCAACAAGACTCCCACGTACTTAAGTATGGTGAACTACCTAAAATTTGTTAATAAATACGACATGAAATTATGCTTTGACAATAAATTCTTCTGATGCACTTTCCACCACAAGTAAAATTCCATATTTAAACAATTAAATATAAACTTGAATATGAAAATGAATTTGAAGATAGAGAAATCTTGATAATAAATTACTTCTAGAAAAGTGATAACTCTACATTAATAAAGTTGTAACAAAGCAATAAAGAAAGCTTGCAAATCTTCGCAGAGAACAACTGAAAACTGAGTGGTCATGGGAGGAGAGAATCTCCATTCCCCCGACCTTCTTCTCTAACTAAGAGAACTCCCTTATATAATTGGAGCTCTCGGGAAATGAACAAAATAAAAGCAAAGTATCACAATTTGATCTATGATATATTATACAAGAAATCTGGCCCTATTTTTAGATTTTCTAGATCGTCAGTGGCGACTATTGAGCAGTTACAAAACAGCAGTTGAGAACGGTTAAGATGTTGTTGCAACCGCTGGGCAGTTAGTTGGTAAGCGGTTGGAACAGCCACAACTCCCAACTTGCTTGCTCGTCAGCAGGACTGCATTAGCTAGGCATAGATCTTCCTCCCTCGGCTTGCTTCACTTTGCTCGGCTGGAGAACATCGGCGCAGCTCAAGCCAGACAGTTATCGCTGGCTGGTAATGGATGGCTGACTGCTGAGAGCTCCACACTTAATCAATTCTTGGAACTTCTGGATCATGGCTCATCAGCAGTGGACGTCTGACTGACTCAGGCATGAGCAGAAAGAACGTCACTCACCACAGCTGCTTGCGCCCCTGCTCGTCTCTCCATACTTAGGCATTTTTCAGCCATAATTGTCGCTTAAAAATGCTAAAAACATCGACAAGCTTTGGATCATATCAACAAAAACATATCAAGAAAATATGCCATAAATTAAATATTGTAATGGTTCTCACATAAAAATTCAAGAAATACACAATTTTATCAAGCGATAAATATGCAATTATTTGGAGTTATCAGGTGCTATTACGTTCTAAGAGTTAGTCAAAATAGAAATAGTTATGCATGCAGTGAAAATGTAATCACGTAGTCATATAGGAACGCGCATAGAAAAATACTCATTTCAAATACAATAAATGTCCCTCGCTTGGCCATGTTCTTGAATATCTTATCAAAGTCACTAGATAAGCCTCCACCATACCTAACTTGCCATCAACTCCCTCTTTCAGCTCTTTTATGTCGCCTTTGATTTTTGCGACAATGTTTTTAAGCTCATCAAATTTCATCTACAAGGGAACATCTATAGTAGCAACTGTTGTTCCAGTTTGAGGCTATAAGGAGTCTAAAATGTTTTTCTCAGTGTTTAGGTGGATGTTTTGGGGTTTTTTTTCACTTTTGCCTCGCTTGTAGCCCAGTTTGCCTCTCTAGTTTAGCCTGTCCTGTTGTCTCCCTTGTCTCCTTCAATCTTCTTGACTCCTTTGTGTGCCATTTCGCCTCATCCTTAAAGACCTCCCAGACTCTTGTAAAGGTACTAAATCGTAATTGGATTCTAGAATAATAATCTTGCGACGGATCTTTTCCATGGACTTCTATGTTACTCCATGGCTTCTACAAGCTAGTTAAGGGCTTCTTGGTGCTTGCTGGAAATCCTTTTATCCAAATCCTAACTCCATCGGGAAAACAAGCCATCGCCAACCAATCGTAGTTGATTTTCATAATTTTCGTTTTATTAAGCAGTAAGTAAAGCGGTAAAAGTGAAGCAAGCGGAAGCGAGCGAAGCGAGGGCGTAAAATGAAGTGCCAGTGGTGACCAGATGTTCGGGGTGTGAGCGGAAGTGGGGACCAGATGAACGGGACATGGATGAATGGCGGTTACCGGGTGAACGGGACATGAGCGAGCGGCATATTATATGTATATATATGGGCGACAGGGAGTGGATGAGAGATGTCGTGTCTAAACTGTGCGTTACTAAATGCATAGATTTCCTTGGAGGCAATGAGCGAGCGATGCAAGTGTGTTATCGGAAATATATGTATTTTACGGAAGCGGTGAGAATGAAGTATTGTAATTATATAAACTGAATATAAAGAATTCATAAAACTGTAATTTTTGACATTAAGGGATTTATAACAAGACTTCAATGACACCCAGATTCAAGACATTATAAGAAAGAAACCCTACTGTCACTAGGAGTCTCTACGACCTAATAGACCACCGCCTATGCCCCGTTAAGTTTCCCAAAATCTGCCTCATTAGTGGCTTTACCCTTCTGTTACCTCTTTTTAATCAAAATTGAATTCAGAAAAACAGTTAAGCTGATCGACAAGGCTCCCGCGTACTTAACTACATTGAACTACCTTGAGACCGCTTTTGGCGCATAACAAGGCTCAAATAATCAATTCTTCTCTAGCTCTAAACCAGTGAAATGAAATTCTCTAAATTCAAACTTTATATAAGTGTGTAAACAATGTGGAAGAAATGAGGATGAAGAACTAAATGATATTTTATTATCTACTACAAAAGCAGGAAAAGACTAGAGCTACAAAGCTGTAAACGAAAGCAGTAATCTAATCTAAGAAAACTGTAAAGACTTGGCCAAGGGAGAAGGAAAACCCCTACTCCCTTGGCCATTCCTGTGGAGAACTCCCTTACAGGGTTGGAGCTCTCGAAGACAGGAAGAGGACTTGCTTGAGAAGTAATTGCTAAGAGTAATTAAAATCGAAGTATCGATCCTCTTTCGTAAAGATATCTGGCCCTTTTTATAGCAGGTGGAATGGGGCGGTTGCAATCGGTTGCTGAGCGGTTCCAACCACTGGGGAGTTAGGCGGTTATTGGTAGTTATTATGTTGAAGTAGTTGCTGGCCATAACTCCCAGGGCGTTTGCTTTGATTGCACTGAATTGTAAGGGCTCAAATCTTCCTCGCTTGCCGAAGAGTTGGAGGGCATCAGCGCAGCTAGGCTCGCTTGTGCTGGCTGGAAATGAAATGGTTGTACCACTGCAGTTGGAACACTTAGTTGGAATCTGGTGATATTCTGCAGCAGTGGGCGTCTGGGCTGTCGCTTGCAAGCGGGAGAGGTTGTCGCTTGAGGGCGGTGAAGGCTGCCGCTTGCCTCTCATGCCTTAGTATTTTTCAGGAAGTATTCTGGGCGCTTGAGAGCGGGGGTGGTTGTCGCTTGTGGCATCTGCCTTAGCTTTTCTGGCACCAGACTACCGCTTAAAAAGGCAAAAATCGTTAATAATCTCAACAACGAATTCTGGATCATGCCAAGCGATATAGATCAATAATGTATGCCATTAATGGGTCATTGTGATAGTTTTTATAAAGAAATTCGAGTAATACACAGTTTTGTCAGTTAAGAATATACTCCTAGTTGGAGTTATCGAGGGCTTCTTGGTGCTTGCTGGAAATCCTTTTATCCAAATCCTAACTCCATCGGGGAAAACAAGCCATCGCCAACCAATCGTAGTTGATTTTCATAATTTTCATTTTATTAAGGATATTGTTACAAAAAAATCTAACAAAACTAGTGAAAATACGTTATGAGTATAATCGTACAAATATGGATACTTAAGTGTTATCTTCTACAAAGTTTGAATTATGTAAAAGGACACGGGGTTGTGATACTTTTGATTAGCCAACACTATTGTTAACCGCGTAGTTAATGAAGTCTAATCTAGTATAAATATTTTGTTTAATAACTACTAGCTATTTATAATTTTCTATAGGTAAGGAAACATTGGTAATGATGATTCTAGATTTAACAAAAAAAACTGTGACCCAAATCACGTGGTTATCTATATATATATATAAATTTGGATCAATAATAATTGAGACGTGACATCCAAGACCCATTAATTCTTGTATGTCGGCCCATGTTTTGTAACACACAATCATGGCCCCATACAATACCATATGAGTCGGAATCCACATCGTCCAATCTAGATATTAGTTTCCAGCCATTGGATGCGAATTAACCCTAAAATGTATGTTTGTACCTGCGCCTCCATGCTCACTTGGTTCATTATTCATTCACCTTTCTCTCTATACTTACACTTCCTACTCATTCTCTCTAGAAATTAACCCATCTTCATCCCTTTTGTGTGCCATTTCTCATGGTCCTTTAGAATTCTTGTCTTCTGTCCCATGAACTTTGAGACTCTAGTTTCGGCCCCTCCATTTATGATTCCATGTGGTTGGAGGAATACAGTCAGGTAAGATAACACCACAGTTTATTAGTGTTTTTTTTTTTTTTTTTTTTTTTTTTTACCATAGACACTCACACAACACACGCACCCCTCCATAATGTATCTGGAGACCTTTGCCTCAAGCGACGATGTCTTACCCCTTGATCTACAAGAGTCTGACCAGCGTATCAATGTTGTTGTTACAGTTGGTTGAATTTTCTTAGGCGTTTCCCTTGTTTGTGTGATTTATTTTATAAACAATACCATATATTTTTTTTTGTCAATGATTTTGATTAAGTTGTTTTTGCTTGATTTTCTTTCAATATCTGAAAACTTCAAGTTTGTTCTGTTTGTTTTTGAACTATGCTTGTATGTATTAACTTGGTTTCTTGATTTATGGAGGATTTCATTAGGAAAACACAAGTTTTCATTATTAATAAATCATTATAGTAAAAATATTCTTTAATCCAAAACCAAGTAATATGTGTTAAGCTATTTTTCGTTTGCACTAGTTCGACCTATCCTTCCTTATATTCGAGGATGTCATCATTTTTTTGTAAATGAAACCATAGATGGGAAGAAAGAAAGTAGTAACTCATATTACTATATCATGTAAAGGAGCCGACATGTTGTAGAAGTAGCACTGAATACTAATTTTCCTCGAAGATTATTTACTTATAGAGAAGATTCTTAATCACATTATTTATCAAGTACATCCGGATTGCCATACCTCAATAATGCATTTGATATATGCTATAGTTTTTCATGTCATTTTTTCCTTTTCCTCATATGTGCTGTGGTTAACTATATATGCAGTTTCTTTGGTTAAAAAAGGTGGAAACTGAAATGCAACAAGGATGAAGCATGAAGAACCAAAGAGATGGCTCAAAAGAAATTGATAGAAAGAGTTTCGGGGAGCCAAGAGGTTAGGTTTGAAGACTCAGAATATCTTTCCGGGATTGGGAACCAGCAAAGACCAGATTCATTTTGGACTTCTTGCAATTGGTGCAAGACACAATATGAATATTGTAATATGTACATGAATGAGTTTCTGGAGTGTCCTTGGTGCAAAGAGGCTATCAGGGCAAAGGAGACTCCAGCTCATAACATAAAAGTTCAAGGATCACACTATCGGAATGTCTATCGAAACTTCGAAGATCTTTCGAGCTTCTTGAGTCGTTTGAGAAGTGTGCTGTCATCAGTTGCTGAAAACTGCAGATACATTCCTCCTGGGATCGTGGAACCAACTCCATCTCCCAGTTTTGTGTTCAGCAATCCATTAATGCAGGAACCCATGAAGAACCTTGATGGTGATTGCTCAACGAGTACCAAAGGAACTGAAAAGAAGCCCAGTCTTTGTATCCTCAATGTGGGGAAACCAGAGAGCATCATAGGAGCAGATATTCAGAAGGCAGAAAGTGCAACCTTTCAGGCATCTTCAGTAAAAGTGAATGTCCATATTTCAGGCCCTGTGAAGAAGAAACTACCGATGAAGTCTGATACCATGGGTCTATGGCATATGGAACTACGTGGTCTGCTAATAAAAAAGGCAAACCAACAACTTGTAGGCCAGCTGAAGAAATTTGAGATGGAACATTCATTAAAGAAATTTCACATTGAAGATCCTGAGAAAAGGATTGCTGGCACATTTCCTGATCTTAATGTGGAAGCTCATTATGTGGAAGCCTGTCTGTATGAAACTGTATCAATGTCTGTGGCCGATGCCAACTTCCACAGTTTCGACAATGAAAGAGTTGAGTATTTCTTCTCCAACAATCAGGTATGGGCTGCATATGATGACGATGATGGTATGCCTCGATATTATGCCTTGGCTCATAATATGATTTCTAGATCACCTTTTAAGCTCGAAATCTGTTGGTTGAACTCCGAATCCACATCTGAGTTTGGATCATTCGAGTCGATTTATTCAAGATTCACAAAGACTCTCGGAAATATCCGGGTGGGGAAATCAATAAACATGAAGAGGTTAAATTCATTCTCTCATCAAATGAGATGGAAAAAGGGTCCGAGAGGAGTGATCCAGATATTTCAAGAAAATGGAGATGTTTGGGCAGTCTACAAATACTGGTCTTTCCAATGGAACTTAGACACAGAAAAGGATGTAATTTATAAATACGGAGTGATGGAGGTGCTTGGAGATTACAGTGAAGATCATGGAGTCTCGGTTGTACGCCTTGTGAAAGTGGCTGGATTTACAACTCTTTTTGGCCGAATCCCTGACCACAATGTGGTTTGGACAATTCCGAAGGAAGAGATGTTCAGAATCTCCCATCAGGTGCCAATGTTTAAGCTGGATGGGATGAAGGACAAAGGTGCACCTGAGGGTTTCTATGGGCTCGACCCGGCAGCTCCACCATCAGAACTGCTCAATAGTATTACAGAAGCTGAAGCAGCCGAGGCAACCACTCAGAGAGTTTCCGAGCATCGTGCCTTAGTTGCAATGATGGATTCAAAATTAACTGAGGGTTTTTGGAAGGGAAATGAAGGTTCCAAATTTCTAAAGACGTACTTTGGAAGAAGGAAACACAAGCAGGCACAAGGTAAAAAAGATAGAATCTGTGAACAATCTCATGAATGAAGAAACTTGTATATGACTTATGTGCTTCTCATTCATATTATCACAATGTGTACAATGAAGATAATTTTAATTGTTAAGGATGAAAAATTCATCCTTTATTGCTTATGGAACGATTTTGGAACTATCAGATTCTTCAAATGTATGGATATATGGTATATATTAATTTTTTTTTTTATCATGAATTAGAACAATTTCAAAGTTAGGCATCCAAATAGTTAGATGTTGCATACTTATTATACTTATTATCCATCCAAATGTGTGAACAATCTCTTCGAGATGTGGCATGTATAGATGCACCAGTATAAATCAGCTAACTACTCTCATGGTATGTAAGATTGACAACTTCATAATCACGAAGAATAAGAGAATCACCTGTTGCAATAGACACTCAATCATCATCCTTTCCAGCTTCATTCATTTTTTCTTTATCCTTCTTGCCATCTTGCTTGGGTTTTCTACCGTGCTTTGTTATCTGCGCAGGAATGCCACAATTCCAACCCTCAATCTTGCTCTATATGTTGGATTTACTTTTGTCTTTTGGTTTTCCTTTTGGACCTCTACTTTTGCTTCTCCCCTTTCTTTCTGTGACCAAAACCTCTGAGTGATGAGAGCCTCGATTTTGTTCTCGTTTCCTCATTTAACACGCTGCCCTTAACCAAGTCCATTGTAATGGTACCATCAGGGGTTGAATTTCACAAAGATGTCTTAAAAGTCTCCCACGAATCCGACAATGTACTAAGCAACCATAATCCTTGTACTTCATCTTCAAACTTGATATTCATTCCTACCAGTTGGTTAATGATGCCTTGAAATGAATTCAAGTGATCAGTCATAGTGGTGTAGTCTCTATATTTCAATTCATCAATTGTTTGATTAGAAATAATTTATTATTCCTAGTTTTCGTTGCATATAGTTGCTCTAAATTCTCCCATAGTGACCGTGCATTTGTTTCTCCACTAACATGGTTCAAAACATTATCATCCACCAATTTCCTGATGTACCACATACTTGTCGATGCATGATATTCCCGTTCGGCATCACTTTTACCCTCAGGCTTGTCGATTTCAAAAATTGCTCGATAGAAATCTTTCACATATAGAATATCATCCATCTTTCCCTTCCATACATGATAGTTTGAACCATTAAGATTCACCATTCTACTTGTGTTCGTTTCCATATTCACCACAAGAAATAAGACAGAAACCTCGCTCTGATACAACTTTGATGGGACAAATACTCGTAATGTACGAATTATCCCTCTTGTGTGAATCTAGCAGGAAACAATAACAATATAATAATCATACCGAAAGAAGTATTGCAACCAATCAACAAGGACACTAGTGATTTTACGTGGAAAACCTCCTCGATGTGAGGAGTAAAAACCACGGGACCGAAGTCCACAAAATCTCCACTACAATAAGAAAAGTGGTATAAATTGTTCAACACAAAAATCAATCTAAGTTCCAACTCAGAAGATATAACACCAATCTTGTCAACGAATATATGAGTGAAATAGAAAACTCACAAACAATACCCTTCAATTCAGACCAAAACACTCAATGCTCCAAAGCTCTGATCATGATCTCCACCTTTCATAATTTACTCCACAATGTCCCCAACAACATATTCAAATTCTAGCCTGATCCAACGGTTAGATCTTCCGATTCGATATCAACACCGAAACAGGTCCGACATAATCCAAAAACGAACAGAGCTCTCTGTTTGTGTCTATATCAGAACATGTGATGTTTTGATTCTGATCTCCACTATTCAGAATGTAGAAATATGAGTAACAAACCGTCTGTGTAAATTTGGGGTGATTTGACGGTTGGATATTTGTAGATCGTCGTTTTACGGAGACTGCACAGAGAATGAGCAACGGTGGCGGTTGCAACTTTCTTACCCACTCTCAAATCCTTATCCGCTCAATATCAAATTATGTTGATTCTCCATATGTGAGATTACCAAAATGCCCTCCACATTAAGGAAAACATAAGTCAACAGTTTGACGGTGCAAGACTGAAAGAATAACATCATGACTAACAATTAGTTTGTTAAGCTTTATATTGAGAAGAGGATAGCCTTTAGTATCTGAACAGTAGCCAGCAAAAATGAATCTCTTTCTTTTCCTATCAAATTTCATTATTTTTTTGAAAGAACACGTGCATAAAGATGCAGCCAAAAATTTTCAAATGGCTTACCGAAGGCTTCACACTCGTCCATGCTTCATACAAAGTTTTGTTCTTCAGTTATTCCTTCGGGCAACTATTGAGGATATAGACTACCGTGTCAACAGCTACTACCCAAAAGCTCTTCGGAAGTCCCTTTTCATTTATCATAGTTCTTGCCATTTCAAAAATGGTTCTATTCTTTCTCTCGACCACTCCATTTTCTTGTAGAGAGTAGCCTGCTGTGAGCTATTTCCAGTCCTTTTTCTTTACAGTAAGATTCAAATTCTTGAGGAGTATATTCACCTACCCTGTCACTTTGAATAGTTTTAATAGGACAACCCTTATGTTTTTCAACTAAAGCTTTAAATCTCTTGAACGTTTTAAATGTCTCTGATTTTTGTTTTAGGAAATAGATCAACGTCATTCTAGAGAAATCGTCTATAAATGTCAAGAAATATCTGTGTTGTCCCAGGGATTTAGTTTTCATCGGTCCATAGATATCCGAATGAATAAGCTCCAATGGTGCTTTGGCTCTCCATGCCTTTCCTTTCGAAAAAGGTGCTCGATATTGTTATCCCATGCGCAGCTTTCACAAGAATTTTCATTTGTGTGAATGTTAGGCAATTCTTCCACCATTCTTTTATCCTTGAGTAGTTTTAGCCCTTTGAAATTCGAACGGAAGTATCTTTTATATATGCCCAAGTCAAGTGTCATAAGCTACTTCTGTCTTCAAAGCTTTATGTTGCAGTACAATTCCAAAGTTTCGGATGTGTTCAATTTTTTACTACCACAATAATTCTGTTCTAATCTCTGTTGTCAAAGATCCTGTATAACTTATCCTTGAAGACCAGGCTGTACAAGAATTTTCATTTGTGTGAATGTTACGCAATTCTTCCACCATTCTTTTATCCTTGAGTAGTTTTAGCCCTTTGAAATTCGAATGGAAGTATCTTTTATGCCCAAGTCAAGTGTCATAAGCTACTTCCGTTTTCAAAGCTTTATGTTGCAGTACAATTGCAAAGTTTCGAATGTGTTCAATTTTTTACTACCACAATAATTCTGTTCTAATCTCTGTTGTCAAAGATCCTGTATAACTTATTCTTGAAGACCAGGCTGTACCCATTCTCAACAAGTTGCCCAACAATAATTAGATTTTGTGTCAAGTTTGGAACATACAAAACATTATTAATATACTTGACATTTTTTCCAGAATCGACGACAACACTTCCTTTTCCATTGGCTTTTACAACTGGTCCATCTTCAAGTTTCACTCTTGAAGTTACCGTAGTATCCATCTTGTAAAAAATATATTTCTTACCTAACATAGGATCGCTGCATCCACTGTCCACGTACCATACATCACATTTATCACTAGAAATGCATTCGAAGGACTAGAACAAACAGTCTTCATTTTCATCTTGTTGCTGCTCAGAAAAATTTGTCTGCTCTTTGGCTTTAAATCTGGAGTTTATCTCCACATGATTAAACTTGTGGCAATAGGAGAATTTTGGCTTTCCTTTATACTAACAGGCATCCATGGTGTGATTTGTCTACTTGCAGATTTTACATGCCACCGTTGAGCTGATGGATTTTCCGCTTTTCCGCATGTCCTATCTTTTTCTTTTCTGTAAGAGTCATGCTCCTTCTTTTTCATCCAGGTTGTCCCTCCGTTAGTCTTGTCTTGTTGGTGTACCTTCATCTGGAATACAGTTTCACTCATATGCTCCACTCGTAAAAGTCTTCTCTTTTCATGTGCTACGAGAGAGCCAATAAGTTCACGTATTGAGGGTATCGTGAGATTCTTGGATTGCTCAATGGCTGCAACTACCGACACATAATTATCAGTCAGGCTAATCAGAATTTTCTCAACAACCTGCCGATCTACTATCTCCTCACCATACATCCGCATTTGGTTGACAAATTCCATTACTCGATGCTGATAGTCTTGGACATTTTCAGAGTCTTTCATGTTAAGATCATGAAAGTCCCTTCTCAAAGTTTGGAGATTGATAGTTCTAACCTTCTCATCGTCATGGTACTCTTCTTCCAAGATATCCCATGCCTCATTTGCAGTGTCCGTCGTTACAACTTTTAGAAAAATAAATTTTTCAACACTCATGTGAATTTTACGGAATGCAGTTGCATCTGATTGTCATACATGCAGCCTCGAGTTTCTTCTTTTCAGCATCTGGTATGTTATCTTCATCATGAGGTTCTTCGAAGCCCTTCTTAACTATGGTCCATAAGCCATCTGCTTTCAAGAATGTCTTCATCGTAATCTTCTAGTAGTTGTAATCTTCTATTTCAAAGAATGGAATCATTGACGATGCAGATGGTGCAGAAGACATAGCCTTGCTGCTGTTGGATCGTCAACAATGCTCTAATACCAATTTGTAGGATGTGGATTTTAAAGATTGAGTTGCTACTACAGAGCTCTAGTGGTAAAAAAATATTTTTTTTTTCTTGATCAAAATATGGTGAACTGTGATACCCCGGCCCATAAGCCACACAAAGCCGAGAATGTCTGAATCATACACTGGCCCCACAAGTCAACATAAGTCCTTTTAACGCGCTTCTTTCCTCACTAACGTGCACCCTAGGAGACATCCCAAGGGGTTCACAAGTCCTCAAACTACTCTAGGGCATGTTTAACTCTAGAGTTTATTCTCAAATTGGCCTAGAGCAAACACACTTTCTTTCAACAGGGTTCACGAAAAGAAATGTGCATATTATTTACATGAGTAGTCTATTCATTCTATTTAATCTTTACTCACACTTGGATGGCCTAGCTCCGGCTTATCCATACACGGAAGTTGGCCTAGCACCGAAAAACTCTGGGGGTATTACATCATCCTGACTTAAGAATGCAACGTCCATATTGCACCTCATGGATTCGTCAACTGCTAAGTCCGTCAACAGTTCGATCAACGATTGTGGGTTGTCGCAAGTCGGCTCTAATACCAACTGTCTACCCCGGCTTCCAAGC